CTAAGGTGAAGATTTTGATCACATCACCATGGCTAAAATGAGGAATCGTCGAGGTCATTGTGCGGATCCGACCACCTTAAACCTAGTCACTCTGTGTCAGTACTTCTGCTCAGGACTGTACCTCAGCAAAGGGCTAGATCGATTGCCGTAAGGGGTGCTCTCCTAAAAGATGGAAACCCGTGGTTAAGAACCAGTCACCGCATCTCGGCCATATGGCTTTCATGAAGATGTTGATGTCGTCAGCATGGCTAAAATGAGAAATCGCCCAGTTCATTGTGCGGACTCGACTACCGTAAACCTAGTCACGCTGCGTCAGTACTTCTCCTCAGGACTGTACCCCATCAAAGAGCTAGATCGATTGCCGTAACGGGTACTCTCCTAAAAAAAGGAACCCCGCGCTTAGGAACCAGTCACCGCATCTCGGCCATATGGCTAAGATGAACATGTTGATGTCGTCAGCATGCCTAAAATGAGAAATCGCCCAGGTCATTGTGCGGATCCGACCATAGTAAACCTAGCCACGCTCTGTCAGTACTTCCCCTGAGAACTGTTCCTCAGCAGAGAGCAAGATCGATTCTCGTAAGCGGTACTCTCCTAAAAGAAGGAACCCCGTGGTTCAGAACCAGGCACCGCACATCGGCCGTATATCCAAGATGAAGATGTATATGACGTCAGCATCGCTAAAATGAGAAATTGCCCATTTCATTGTGCGGATCCGACCACCGTAAACATAGTCACGCAGTGTCAGTACTTCCCCTCAGGACTGTACCTCAGCAGAGAGCAAGATCGATTCCCGTAAATGGTACTCTCCTCCAAGAAGGAACCCCGTGCTTCAGAACCACTCGCCGCATCTCGGCCATATGGCTAAGATGAAGGTGTTGATGTCGTCAGCATGGCTAAAATGAGAAACGGCCCAGGTCATTGTACGGATGCGACGACCGTAAACCTAGTCGCGCTGTGTCAGTACTTCTCCTCAGGACTGTCCCTCGTCAAAGAGCTAGATCGATTGCCGTAAACGGTACTCTCCTAAAAGGAGGAACCCCGCGGTTCAGAACCACTCATCGCATCTCGGCCATATGGCTAAGATGAAGATGTTGATGACGTTAGCATGGGTAAAATGAGAAATCGCCCTGTTCATTGTGCGGATCCGACCAGCGTAAACCTAGTCACGCTGTGTCAGTACTTCTCCTCACGACTGTACCTCAGAAGAGAGCTAGTTCGATTGCCGTAGGTGGTACTCTCCTAAAAGAAGGAACCAGGTGGTTCAGAACCACTCACCTCGTCTCGGCCATATGGCTGAGATGAAGATGTTGATGACGTCAGCATGGCTGAAATGAGAAATTGCCCATGTCATTGTGCGGATCCGACCACCGTAAACCTAGCCACGCAGTGTCAGTACTTCCCCTCAATACTACCTCAGCAGAGAGCTAGATCGATTGCGGGAAGCGGTACTCTCCTTAAATAAGGAAGACCGTGGTTCAGAACCACTCACCGCATCTCGTACATATGACTAAGATGAAGATGTTGATGACGTCAGCATGCCTAAAATGAGAAATCGCACAGGTCATTGTGCGGATCCGACCACCGCAAACCTACTCACC